GAACGTATGTGTCGATTAATTCGTCATTTATTTCAACAACATTCGTATGTATTCGAGAAACATAAAAAGTTGTATATTGCAATTTATTAAATAAATCATCTTCTTCGAATAGATTCTATCCATTAATTCCACCAAATGAATCAGTTTCAATTGAATATGAACAGGCAATAGAATATGCAAAAATCGATTCATTACCTCATTTATTTATTACTTCATCTGATCTTCGACCATTTATTAAGGTAAGACAAAAATAAAAAGCATTCAATATTTTCAGTCTACTTTAATCAATCGATATTGTTTTCAATTAGCGCTATGCGCTAAAAGTATCTCACGAAGGAATTCTTCTAGTTGATAACTTCCGATCGAGCTCATATTTTACTAACTGTTAGAGCCTATAGTACAGATTAAAGCTCTAAAATGATATGTACTATTAGCGCTCTCTTTTTGAGTTATGACCATTTTATTACATTTTCAGCCAATTGTAGGATATTAGAAGGAAAATTGAATCCAAGAATTTTAGTCTGAAATCTTTTCCAGGAAATAGATTCCATGGCCAAGAGAATATTCTGAAAGTTTCAGCAAAAATGGACACTTCTATGTCAAAAGAACGGCGTTGCAAAACCACTGATTATCACGCCAAAGATTCGAACAAGTCCAATTTTTTTAAGTATAAAATATCTTGAGAAGAAATCATCTGTGTTTGCTGGAACTTTCAGAATATTATAAAGACCATGAAATCTATTCCTTGAGTAAAATCTCAGAATAAAATTTCTTGATTCAGTTTTTCTCCTAATATCCTACAATAGGCTAAAACTTCAGTAAAATGATCACAATTCGAGAAGAAAGTACTAACGAGGGATCTACCCCGATTGATTCTGAGCTTTCGGCTTCATATTTCGACTATAGATAGGCCTCAGTGAGACTAAGAAAACACTTGAAGCGTTTGTGATTATGGACTGTTGGTCCAAAGTTATAGCCATTTTACTGAATTTTCAGTCTAGAGCACGGTATTCACAGCAAAGTCAAATGAAGGTATTCCTATTTGATATTTTGTTCATCAATAACTCTAATGATTCCCAACATGTATCAACATTTTCAACCAAAACAGATGCTTCCTTCTTGAGATATTCAATTTTTAGGACAGCTTCATTATTGCGACCTGTCTGTTAAAAGTGGACATTTTTTGAAAATTGAATATCTCAAGAAGAAATCATTAGAGTTGTTTATGGATAGAATATTAGATCGAAATAACTTCATTTGACTTTGCTG